GACCATCTGGAACGCTTCCGCGTCCTTGATGCCCAACTCCTTCAGCTCCTTCTCGGTCTCACTTGCTTCGATGTCCTGTGGCAAACCCCTAATCAGCACGTGGAGCTTTTTATCCTTGGCAGCGTGTACGTATAGTACGGCCGCTGGAGCTTTTGCAGGAGGCTAGTGGCTTTCCTAAAATCAGCCGCCGTTTTAGTAGTAACCGCAACCCCATTTCTGTTGGTTGCGGCCTTGGTCACTTCGATGCCTTCTGCAGTGAAGGCACCGTTCGTCTCCAGCTTGTTTGTCCCTGTATGTTGATGGGTGGAATTTTTTCCACCCTTTCAGGGACTAGGGAGTCGGTCTCCATCCCCGTTACTTCAATTATGATGGTTTCCTCCTTACCCTCGCTTTCGTCTCTGCGCCTTTTTCTGGCCTCTTGAGCAGGAAGGGCGCTGGACGGTGGGGAACTGTGAAGTGCTGGCTTTTTGGGGGCAACCTGTACTGTTTTGGGTGCCGCTATCTTGCGGGGCGCCGAGGGTTTCGGTGCCCCCTTGACAGCCGCACTAAAACTGTCAGGTTTCTTAGCCGGTTTTGGGGCTCAAGTCTGCCGGCCAGCATCGCGGTTAGTTGCCTGAGATTGGCCTCTAACCTGCGTATATCATTCCGGAGCTCCTCGTTCTCCTGCTGCAACCTTTCCATGGCGGTTTTAGGCGCCATTCTGGTTGCACTTTCAGAATAGCACGTGGATTAAAAAAAAAAAAAATATGCACGTGGTGGTGCCTTGGTGTGTGGGTTTCGGCTCTCGCCATAGATAAAGACAAGTATAGATAGCCCACTCTCTCGCACTTTGTTGGACCCGCGCTAACCTGCTGCCATTTATTAACGCAAAGACACAGATGCGTTTTAAATCTGCTTGCGAGTATGCGTCCCTGCTACTTGTTTTGAAGGTTTGTGTCCTTACTATTATTGGTGACCGATTACTTTAATTGAGATTAAGAGATGTTTAATAGTTAGTTTAATATATTTGAACAGTGGGAAGACCTGTAACAAATATATCAAATTGAACATAAACATACTCCTAATCTCAATTAAAGTACTTCGACCGCCATTGGTTTTGGATATGTTGATAATAAAAAGTTCAAAAGCATTTTAAATTTTTATTGCAGTTAATAAATTGGCAAAACGCCAAGTAGCATTAATTTGTGAAAAGTGTATCATGCAAACAACAAACCTTTGTTCAAAAAGCAAAATGATCAAACAACAAACGAATTAATTACTTAACTACAATTATCAAAGCAGATACATATTTAGGTAGGCATATGAATATCACAATAATATATCC